ACGGAATGCGAAGAAATGGGAGAAGTTTTTAAAATCACAACAAGATCAATAAATGAAAAATAATCTTTTTCTAACTTTTATATTATGAATTGTGAATTTTAGAAAACAAGCTTATTTTTAGATAAAACTATCTGCATATGGATTCACCATTGCAATTAAATAACAATACGATCAGTCAACTGTCCAAGCGCAATTCAATTGCAGGTTTTGTCGAATTCTTCGATAGTATTGTTTCATTTCTGAATAACAATACCTGTGAACCCGCAGTCGCTTTGCGTAAACTAACTTCAGTATGCGATGAATTAGTCGGAGTTCATGTCTTAGGCCCATTTGATAACTCAACTATCATGCAACATAACTTTTTCGTTCTACTCGGTCGAACATTTACCATGCTGTTTACAAAAATGACATTGGTTCCTTTAACGCCGACAGATGAGCAATGCTTGGAATCAATAAGCATATTTATTACTAATTTATGTTCACTGAAGAATAAAGCTGTACATTGCTTCTACGCAGACTATACGGAAGAACGCGATGGAAAAATCAGTCAACCGGTGGACCCGATGTCGTACGATAAGATCTTTTTTACTAGTAAATTCATGGCGAAATATATCCGAATGGTGGAAAATGACATCTCTACTAAAGAATACTCGCCCTACCATATTAAATACAAAATAACCGATCGTTTACTTCGTCTTTGGATAAAACTACGGAATCCAAATTATAGAGCTGCTCTCGATGTTGTGGTGAAGTGTTTAATGTCGGAACATTACCTTAAAGTGTACAAGGCCATCGATCTTTGCAACCCAATGCTGACTCCAAAACAATCATTGTTTTTGTACCAATGTCCGAAGTTCATCCGTTTAATGTCTGATACTCGACAAAGAGAGATATCACATAAACTATGTGAAAAACTCATCAAAGACACCAATGAAATACTTCACAAGCATCTAAATACCATTTTAGAAGGTGCATCAGAATTAGTTGGAAGCGGAAATGGTGAGAGATGAATGTTCAATCCGATCACAACGAAATTGCTTTCGGAATTCGTTTTAGGGTTGGATGGACAAGATTTGAAGAACTATTATTTATCACATACAAAAGACGCGAAAACACCTGCTATTGCTTGGAATATCGAACTATTGAATTACTTTGCTTTAACTCCAACAACAGGAATACGAGGCTGTTTCCAGACACGTACATCATGATGTTGTTTAGAATCTTGTCATTTCTTGCCTTCTTTCTCTAGATTACGATCATAACGAATCGATGGTTGATCAAATGCTTGCTCTCATAAGTAGAAAATATTTGATTGGCAGTGTTCAAATCAACAGGCTACCATTTCATTGTGATGTTGCTCTTGTCTCATATTCACTTGTAATGTTATACAATTTAACGTTCGACGAAACAATCCATAAACACCTAAAAAACAAGAAACCATTCAATACTCTTAAACGTTTGCACGCAGCAAAAGACAAAATTATTCGATTCACCTCTCGAACCTTAGTGGCGATTTTACAAAAGGAGAAAATTGACGAAATCGATAGTCCCTCCGAAATTGCAAAATCCTATTTGTACATGATCGAGAACACTCTCGATAATATAGACTTGATGTTCCATGGAATCAAACTTGACGGAGTGTTGACTAATCTGGAAAGTATGATGTACCAAAATGAATTGTAATTATTTGTATCTCTGAACTATTTCAGCGGTTGTTCTCAACGATGAAGTTAAAGAAGAAATCGTCAATGAAGATGGAATTGATCTGCTAGAAGATATCGTATGTCAGGATGATTTCGATTATGATAGCCTTCGCGCGCCTGCTGCTCGGATTATTGAAAGTCTTTCGTTTGAACCCAATGCACCTTTGAAGATTCTTGATAGCGATCGTCTATTAGCAGAGATCAATGAGTTTTCAGGCGATACGAACGCTGAGAAGCAGTCGATAGCAAAGTACATTCAGTGGAATATCGAAGGTCAAAAGCGCTGTCTAGAGAGACGCGTATTGGATGAAGAAAGTCGTGAAAAATACGGAATCAAGGAAACCAAAAGAGCATTCGATATCACAAAAGCTATTTATCAATACATTCGAGGCGACTATGTATTTACCTTGGATGACCAGAGAGAACGAAACAAAATCAACATTCACATTAGTTACAATGCCAAAAGTAAAAAAGATCAAGAAATGTTCAATAACATTTACAATTACTTGAAAAAGATCGAGTTCTACAATATATCATTCAATACAATGACGGAGCAACGTCGTGATCCAGAAATATTGGCTAACAACATCGAAGAAGCGTCCATCGTTATCCTGTGTTTGTCAAATGAATACGGACATTCGAATGCATGTCGAATCGAAGCTATCTATGCTTCTCGGAGAAATCGAAAAATTATTGCGATTCTAGTTCACGGGAAAAGTATCAAATCAAAGTGGTTGCTCAACATCATAGAAGGCAAACCTTTTATTGACTTTACTGCTGAATTTAGTTTATCTTGCGATAGATTGGCGGATACAATCAATCATGAGTATGAGAATATTTTCCGAAATGAATAAACAATTTGACTGATGATTGTTTAACACTAAAACCTATTGAATAAAGTCTCACTTATAATAGATATTCTCGTTGTAGATACAAACGAAAGTATTCTGACGTGCGAAAAGTAAAATGGCATCCTTCACATCACCGAAAATTATCGAAAATTGCGTTATTCTTTGGTTAGATGACAATCGGAACTTTTCCACTGAGGATAATAAAGATTCGATTGCTCAATTTCGAAGCATTGTCAACGCCATCGAAACTTGCAAAGACATCGACTCATGCCGTCAATGTCTTACTCAACTGAAAAATGAAAAAGTTTTCTTGATCGTGTCCGATACTCTACTGAACGAAATCGCTGCTTTCGAAGAGAACTTCGTGCAACTGTCTTCCATTTATGTCTTCTGCAGCAATTCAGCAGTACGCACTAATAAAATCAAATCCTTCAGAAAAGGAAGAGGTATTTTCACGAACATGACACATCTTTGTAACGAATTGAAAACGGACGTTCGACGAGTGGAGAAGAACCTACTGTGCGGCGATACAATCTCACCATCGGCTAACTTAACCGATAACGAACTTCCACCGTCGTTTATGTATTGTCAATTATTGAAGGAGAATTTCTTCAAGTTGGAAGACGATTCAGATGCCAAGAGAAAATTTATCGAATACAGCAAACTACAGTATGCAGGAAATAGATTGCAAATAGAATACATGGAACATTTTCAAGCGACCTACGATCGCGGATCTGAGAAACAATCGCCGATTTGGTGGTATACTATAGAATGTTTTCTATATAACATGCTCAATCGTGCGTTACGATTACTGGATATCGAAGTTTTAATGCACATCAACTTCTATATTCGAGATCTTCACGAGCAAATCAAGCGAAGACATAAACATCCAAAAGAATCGCAACTGTCAGTCGTTTATCGAGGACAAGGCGTATCGAAGTCTGATTTCGACAAGCTAAAGACGAACCATTTGCAATCTTTCAATAATTTTCTTTCCACAACAACCATACAAAGCAAGGCAGTGGAATTTGTACGAAATGCACTACACAATCCTGATTATCCCGACTCGATTGGGATTCTATGGGAAATATCGATTGGTTCTTCGGTTTCATCTGTTCCTTTCACTCTGGTCGAGGATATTACTGCCATCAAGAAAGAATTTGAAGTTCTTTTCTCCATCGGTGCTGTTTTTCGTATTGAAAGCAAAGAACAAGAGAAAATTGAAGAACTTAGCTTTTGGCGAATAAAACTGACTTTGACAGAAGATCGCGACTCATCATTGACACGCCTCACAGATCATATTCAGAGATCATTGGGTTCAGGAACTGGTTGGCGTCCATTGGGTCAACTAATGATTAAAATGGGTCATTTCAGCAAAGCAAAAGAAATTTACGAGAAGCTAATTATTGGTGTTGCACCTGAAGATAGATTACAATTCATTTTCCTTCACAATCAACTTGGTCATGTTGAAAAACAAATGGATAACCTAACCGAAGCATTCGAACATTATCAAAAGGCGATCAACTGTAGTAAAGGATATTTGTCGCCACACGACTCTCAACTATCCAGTATATATTCGAACATTGGAGTCATTTCGAAAAAACTTAAACGATTCGATGAAGCATTGAAATATTTTAATCTTGTTCTCGAAATTGACCGTTCTACATCGGATCCTAACCGATTAGAGATTGCTGTCGATTACAATAACATCGGCTCGGTACTGGACGACCAAGGCAAATATGCGGAAGCTCTCAAAAATTATGAAAAAGCACTAGAAATCAAGTTAGCCCATTTGCAACCTGATCATCCATCTTTAGCCAATAACTACAGCAACATAGGTGTTATCCATAGAAAAATGGGTGATTGTTCAACGGCGTTGTCATTTTATGAAAAGGCTCTTGCTATTCAAAAAAAAACTTTACAGCCCAATCATTCTGCATTCATAACCACCTATAGTAATATGGTATCTGCATTACACAGTCTCAATAGAATAGATGAAGCAATTAAATGTGCAACCGAGGCTGCAAACATCGCTAAGGAAGCATTTGGAACAGCTCATCCCGAAACGAAACGGCGAAAAGATATTTTAGATAAACTAGAAAAGAGACAATGATAATATGTTTCAAACAGTGTGCATACGAAACCTAATATACTGTATTCATTTTTTTCATTTAATTAAAGAGAAGGATCAACTTGAATTCACCATTTAATTTTTCGATGTACTTTTCATGAGAAAAAAAACGATTAGTTGTTCTATTCTTATAAAAGGCAATACTAATACCTTCAAGCTTCAGTTAGAAAAAAACGAAACGCAGGTAGGTACGTTCTCTAGATTAGAATGCTATGCATTTTATATAAGATCAGGATACATCGATTTACTTGAATTCATTTCTCTTCATAGAGTGCGATGTCTGCACATGACTCGATTTTCGTATTCATACTGTATATGAACTGCATTGGGCAACTGTTTGGACAGGTTGCCACGAATAATTCACCTCAATACCACTCAGTCATACCACGCAATAACCTTACATCTGCTCAAAAGAATGATATATTCAAATCTCTGGCAAAATACGAATCCCAATATAATGCCAATGAATCTATGATCAAGCAAAGTTACACATGGACATACGGAACTTATCATACGGTTTATAAAGGCAATACAGTTCATCGAACACGCAATGCAGCTGAGTATGCAGTTAATTTATTCGATAGTGGTAATGCTACAATGGAGAAGCGCGGATTTGACGTCCTACGCAAAGTTCTGTCCTTACAAGACACCAATTCAAGNAAATACGAATCCCAATATAATGCCAATGAATCTATGATCAAGCAAAGTTACACATGGACATACGGAACTTATCATACGGTTTATAAAGGCAATACAGTTCATCGAACACGCAATGCAGCTGAGTATGCAGTTAATTTATTCGATAGTGGTAATGCTACAATGGAGAAGCGCGGATTTGACGTCCTACGCAAAGTTCTGTCCTTACAAGACACCAATTCAAGTTCGCGAACATACGGGATCTGGTCCTATTTTCTCGAAGAACCATTGCATGAAATGATGCCACCAGATTGGAATTGGGCGGATTTTATCGGTACACAACTACTTCAAATATCTATTAATCATCACGACCGTTTACCTAAGGATCTAGCTGAGAAATTAGATTGGGGTATTATTCATGCTGCGCGTTCGATTCAGAAACGAAATGTAGGACCGGATTATACAAATATCGCAATCATGGGCACGTATGTAACATTAACTACCAGTGAAATCTACGGTCTAACAGATCTGCATGACTATGCAATGAAGCGCTTGAGAATATTTTCGAATTTTACAAAAAACAATGGACGAGCATTTGCGGAATACAATAGTCCAACGTATACTATGGTCGCGATAGATGAACTGGGAAGATTACGAATGCATGCTATCGGAGATGAAGCTAAACAGTTAGTTAACGAACTTTATCACATCGGTTGGGAAGAAATTGCCGAGCATTATCATCGACCAACCGGGCAATGGAGTGGTCCACACTCGCGTTCATACGGTAGTCTGTTAGGAGGTGATGTTACCGGCTTTCTTTCAAACTCTCTGAATGAGACTTGGGATCCGCGTCGCCCATTGCCCATCCCTGATGATTTAACATCTTATTTTACATCGGACTTGGATAAACCACGTACAGTCTTGAAAACTTATTCAAAAGATCCATTAAATTTAGTATCTGACTTAATCGGTACAACATATTTACATCCATTGTTTAGCATTGGAAGTGCACGCTGGGGTGAAATGTGGAATCAACGCCGACCCTTAATCGCCTATTGGGGCACAAAACAGAAACCCTCGTATTTACAACTTCGATTTCTACATGATAATTACGATTTTTCAAATGTGGTGTTTTATAGTGTACAAAAAGAAGATCGAGTATTAGCTGGATTAGTTTTCGCTACCGATGGCGGTGACACTCATCTTAGTCTCGATCGAATTAGAAATGCTACGATCAAAGCAAAGGATTTACGCATACGTTTCGAAATCGGTGGAAGTGATGTGGATTCTGCTTGGCAAGCGGCACAAAGACTTTTAGAACCTACAAAATTTACCTTCGAAAACATTTCAATTCAATTTGCATTACCTTCTGTGCAATTTTCATGTAGCAATCAATTGGGATGNACCGATGGCGGTGACACTCATCTTAGTCTCGATCGAATTAGAAATGCTACGATCAAAGCAAAGGATTTACGCATACGTTTCGAAATCGGTGGAAGTGATGTGGATTCTGCTTGGCAAGCGGCACAAAGACTTTTAGAACCTACAAAATTTACCTTCGAAAACATTTCAATTCAATTTGCATTACCTTCTGTGCAGTTTTCATGTAGCAATCAACTGGGATGGACAGTTAGCCGTGCAAATAATCGTCTTAATATCGACTATGTTCTATATACATCCACTGTAGAACAAACTATCAAACTTGATGCATTAGCTGAAGCAGTAGGAATAGTTGCAGTGAAACTCTCTTCTACTAAGAATGACATATTGATTCAACCGATTACTATTTCTCAAAACTCAATGCTTTATGCTAAATGGGATGATTTGTGTCTGACGATTCCGTTCAAACCAACGAATGTATCAACGCTACGGAAACTTCCGAAATTTTCTTGTTGAGAAATCTATGATTTGAAATAAAAACTGGCAGCATTATCGAAAGTGACTTCTTCAGTCTCAGTCCGATTTAGCGAAACATTTCAGAGTAATTACATAAGCTTTCTATCTTATTTGAAAAAGACAAATTCTTCTTTGTTGCAAACACCGAACGGAGACACTTGGACAAACCGTTGAAGAATTTGAGGAACTCTATCGACAGGAAAAGCACATCCAAGGAAAAACGCTGACCTTTTGCGTTGATACATTACAAACTAAATTGTATTTCACAGATTAATTCAAATACATCCAATTGGCTCTTTTCAATCGCATATGGTGAAATGGCTTAGCAGCATAAACACTTCTACAAGTTATTTTCTTTCTCTTAGATCACCGCCATTAAATGATATATGCCAATGTTTTCAATAATTTCTTGGAAGACTTTCAAAGAAAATCCTATATTAATCAATACACTCAGAAATTGCAACATTCCGTAGACGCGATATTATTTTCTCCTTGAAAACAAAACAGAGAATAAACTCAGACTCTCAAGACTCTTTTCTCATCCGTGTGACTATGGAAGACATTCACTCTGAACTAAACGGCAATTCCGTCTATGTTCTAACTGCAATCAACGATGGAGTGGAGATATATTCACCCGCTCGGCTAGACCCACGGTTTTCAAATGCACCAGAAAATGAACATTGCACAGCAGAAGAGAAAATATTGATTTAAAAATGATGCATCTATATTATCTGTGTTTGATAAATGACGCCGAACATGAGGATGAAATGGATGTGCAACCTTTATACTTGTATCCAGTATGTTTGCGAAAAATGTTCTCCTTGTTTGGCGTATAATGAAGGAAAAGTTCTATGTCGAACGTATGTACACACTATTTCATTTCGAACACGGAGCTGATTGGGATGAAAATCAGTTAAAAATTATAGCCTATGTTAAAAAATAAACATGATGACTTTGTATCGACGTTTGCTGCCAGCGACAACTGGAAGAGACACTCTATTGTCACTGGCAGTAGAAGAATATTCTGTTAATACTTTTTAAAAATATTTGTTTCAGTCAAACGCTGCTTGTTGACTTTTGTACGTTTCATTCAGTACATCGAATGTATTCACTTCAATAAATGTCATAATGATGTTTATGTGCCAATAACACATACGCGAGCTGTCTTTCGTCAAAGACGGTTTATTAAAAAAACAACGAATAATAGAAGTGATACTTAAAGCGCGTTTTACTTCAAAACACATAAAAAACGAACAGTGCGTTAAGTACCGCTGCGGATACCTCATTCGAACATACGGGTTTGAATCAAAAACAGTTTGCTGTTCAAAATGTCTGTTTTGTTAGTATTTCACAGCTATCTCACGAGGATTGAACATTTGTTCGCTCTCAACAAGATTCTTTTCAGATTTATACATGTATGGAAAGCATGAGATTGCAATAGGCAAATATGCATACCAAAGAATGCACCAAACAAAAGTGTACCAATACACACCAGGATGACAATAGTTAGGACTTTGAGCATCATCAAATTGAACTCGATTTTTCACGCCATATACCCATACAGATCCAGCAATATACCATGCAAGAGTGCAGATAGTGCCAATACCAGCCCACACAGCCATTGAAAGTTTCTGTTGTTTATAAATTTCGGCTTTTGACTTTTTTCGTTGGACGAACATTATAATTACCATTGCAATAAGTAAGCATATATTTTCGACAATACATTCCACGCCTAATACCATTAGAAAACGAGGTATCCATTCCTGGACTTGACATTGTGATCGATACACAATACCCATAATTAAAGGAGGGATAGCGAAAAGAATACTTTTTACAACCATTGTGATGAAAGCGGTTAGAATAAGATTCTTGCTATCTAATATGCCCCAATTTGGATCATATCTAGGGCTAAAAATTTCGAATTCATTATCGGTAAACTTACAGAAGATTGTATTATACGCTGCAAGAAATAATACAGAAACTTACTTCTTCACTATTATTTCACGTTCACGAGGCCTAGGTAGCGCAGACAACGTGGTAAGATTGAGATAAAAGGGAAGACGTTCTTGAGCTCGTTGAGCATATGTTCTATGGTTCCTCTCAGATGCTACGGATGCCGCCATCGTCTGCTATAGTTGAATATATTTTTATCAATGTAAGTACAACAGAAACGGTCGAAAAGTATATAAAATAACTATATTGTTCTTCTTGGTTTTGTTTCTTCCGAGATTTGTGAATCATACATTTATATATCAGTCAATAAAGTACAAGAAAAAATCTTTCTCAGAGCAAACGACTCACCGAGTTGCTTATGTCAATATTTCATACAAAAATTTTAAAATAGTAACCGACGATGGGAAGCAAAGAGTCGCATGAAAAGGAGAGAATTACTATTGAAAAAAGTACCCGTAACTTCAACCAGCACACTCATTTCCGACCTATTGGTGATACAGACATTTCAACTGCAAGACCTGTTTATGTAAGAAAAAAAGATTCGATTAAAATAATCTGGTTGGATTCACGCAGTGTTCCTCGAGATGATATTATTGACACCCAACTTACGAGACAAGCTCTCGGTAACGCCGTAAAAAACGCGGTGTTAACGTGTTACTCCGATCGAACATCTTGCATTAAATATCTACGCCAACAAGAAAATACGGCTGGAATTCTATTTCTTGTCGTTTCTGGAAATAATGCTTTGGATTTATTTCATCATTTGAATGACGATCTCTATCGATGTATCGATTCAATTTTCATCTTCTGTTTGTCAAAGAACGTTCACGAAGCGCAATTACTCTATCAGAAAAAAGTGGCTGGCGTCTACACAGAACACAAGGAACTCCTACAATCCATTCAAGAGCAAGCAGTTCAAATAAACCAACAAGATCTTATCATGAAGTATTATTCGGAAACACAGAAGACTGCTCGTATTATCCCTAGTCATGCTAAAGGTGAATTTGTATGGATTCGTGCGTTGAAAGAGGCCTGTTTACAAGTGGAAAAAACCGATAGAATCATGAAAAAGATGTATGATCGCTTTCGTCTTCTCTATCGACATGATGCAAATGAATTAAAAAAGATCAAAGATTTTGAAGACACATATTGTCCAGACAATGCAATTACATGGTATACTAAAGATTCTTTCCTTTACCGTATCATTAATCAAGGCCTGCGAACACAAAACACGGATGAACTTCTAATGTTTTCGCCATACATCGCAGATCTATGTCGTGCTTTACGGGTGTTAAAGGCAAAAACGGACAGAACACTGATATTCTTTCGAGGATGCATCTTACCTAAAGCAGCAGTAGATGAATTTCAAGACAATATAGAATCATTGCTGTCAATCAATTCATTTTTTTCTGCTACTCGCCAGCGAGACGTGGCGAAGGTGTTCGCAAGTTCTGACGATGCGAATGAAAGTTCATCATTGATCTCAGTTTTATTCGAGATCGAAGTTCAAGAGAACACACAATCATTTTTCGCCGATATCTCTGCATTCAGTTTAATCAAAGATGAACAAGAAGTTCTTTTCGATTTGAACTCAGTTTTCACGATACACGATGTCACCTATTGTGATACCGATAAATGTTGGATTATTCATTTGATTGCCGACGAAGAAACGTATGTTAAATACGACCATATTTACACGGAACTATGTGAAGAATTCCATTTTAATGCATCTCCGATATTAACTGTTGGAGTGTGTTTAATTTCGATAGGTGATACACGAGAGGCCTACCGTTATGCCAATTCTCTTCCTCTGTCATACAACTCGATGTCTGCATTCACTTTGCTGTTTGTCATGACACGCATTATTGAGTGTGATTATGCCAGAGCAATCAAAGTTTTGGAGAATATATGTACAGCATGTCAAAATAGGAAGTTTTATGAGGCAAATGAAGGCTGGACGAATGCAGCGTGTTGGATTGCAGATATTTTAATTAGTCTTGGAGAGTATAACTTAGCGAAAGAATACATTGACTCAATTGTTAAATATTACCGAACAATCAAAAGAGCAGTACGTTCATATGAAGAGCCAATGTCTCTCGAGTTCTTAGAAAGTCTTGGAAGAGCCCTACAAGATAAAGATGATATAAACGTATGCTATTTAGTTTTCAAAGCCTTTAGTCCAGAGGAAATTTCGAAAATACGACGAGCAGTCATTCTTCCAGGTTTACTAACGCGTCTAGCTCGCTCATACGTTAATGCAGATGAATTACAGAAAGCAGTTAGCTATTTGCAACAAGCTGAAGTCGAAGGCGAACTATTGCTTTCAGAGCGTTCAATCGTGAGACTAGAAATCTACATTATTTATGCATGTATCAATCTGCGCGTCGAAAAGTTCGATCAATGTTCATTGTACTTGAATCAAGCCGAAAGAATTGCTCGTATGAATCTATCTCGATCTGCTCCAAGTTCTTTAGGTTGTGTATTCCTTATACGTGAACTACTATTGATTTTACAGGAAGATACATCAACGCCATCTTTTTTACCATCGGCTCGTATTGCTTTCTTAAGAACACAAAACTATATCGATGTTCCCAAAGTGATGTTTGTTCTAGGAAACTTATGCAAAATTCATCGTAATTATCGAAAGAAGTTACATCCATCCGTGTATGGAAAATTGGAACAATTAGTTAAAGAAGCATTTGAAATTTGTCGATTTGAAATGATTTTAGAAGGCAAAAGTCCCGAGAATATATATCGTCGAATACAAAATTATGTCAAACAACTAGATAATCAGCAGAATAATTCAATTTCAGCGAACATACAAACAATGCAAATTAAATCCTAGATCAAAACTCGATGTTTTATTATTTGAAAAAGTTTCAACATTGAATAAAATTCAATCAAATATTTCCCTGCAGACCAGTAGTGAAAGATTTTTATGCTTGACAGAATGTCAAATCTATCATATTGACATGTAGCTCATATGATGAGAATGTGAATCACAGTTTCCAATACATGCTCACACACAGCGAACACCATTGATTCGAGAAATCCTAAACTGTATTGACCACTTCTTCGATAATTTCATCCAGTAGACCCTCAACACCCTTATTGAACTTTTGATTCGGAATCATTTTTTTCACCAACGATGTCGCGAAATTCTTCTGTTCATTGTTCACTAAGGCATAGACAATAATAACAACGAAGAGGTTCTCATCAATGATCGATGTCATCTTGAAAATGATATCGTCTGTTGTTTGCGAACAAGTTCGATCTTTGTCGTATTTATCACCACTTCGTCGACAGTCTGCCAGAGTATACAAATTGTTTCGAATAAAGTCTTTAACTGCTGCTGGCATATCTTTCTTTACTAAACACTGTTCTAAACAATCTTCGCCACCATGCGAGAAGATTTCGGACAAGAAAAATTTCGTCGACATGACTTGGATATCGAAGTACTGCTGTAATCCGAGACGTTTCTTGAATTTTTCATTCAGATCTGCTTGTGTCAGTGTCACAATTCGCTGCTCGACTGGTACACATGGAGTGATCGCTATACAAACAAAAGCATTACATTGTGTCATACTGTTGCACGGCATGAACAACTTACTGATAGTGATTGTTAAAGCATGATTATGATCGTTTTCTCTAACGAATAATTCGATCGTTTTACTCTTTAACATCATTTGGCACAGAGAATCGTTTGTGAGATCATTGAAGTGCTCATTATTGATCGAATACTGAATGGTATAATCTGTTGTATGGATTTGAAATTCGGCTGAAACAGCTTTATAAATGTAATCTAGACTATCCGTTGTTGTTAGCAGGATCTTAGCTGTTTGATTATTTCTATGTACTAAAGCAATAACTTCCATTGATCAAATGATGCGAGTCTGTTCCGCGAAAACAAATATGATGAAAAAGGACACACCCCAACATCGCTTTTTATACGAGCTGGAAAGTCGTACTCATTTCGTGTGGACTACATATTGTGCAAGAACAATTTAGCAAGTGTAGGTGTTTCATTTCTGAAAGACGTCACAAGAAAAAATATAATTAAAGTTTCGTTATACGTTAGTCATTTTTACTTCACCGTGAAACAAGAACAAATTATTCCGAAACACGAATGAGCAACGTGTTTTGCGTAGTGTGAGTGTCGACATAAAACGAAAAATATTCATACGCTTCAGCATGTTTCATGATTAGAAGTATGTTCGTAACTGTACACGTTTGAGTTAATGAGCTCATAAGATAATTCGAATCATACTGTGCTTCTAAAGTACAAGTTTGTACGCCATAGAATGTGTCACGATCAATCAAATTCAGATCGTTAATATTTCGTTGATAATGATTCTTTTTCGTGTCCTGTTGATCTCTTAGTAACATTAGAAACAAAATCGGATTGTCAAAACAACAGCTTTTTTTCCAACTTGTAATTATTTAAATCTCCCAACTACCATTGAAAAGGCAATACTCAAAATTCTGTTTTCATAGAAACTTCTTTGGCAGCAGGAGTATTTACGAGGCGGCTTGGTATATTCCGTCATAAAGGCAATGTTTTCCTAGGAAGAAGAAGAAAAAGCAACACCAAAATGTCATTGCTTTTTTACAAAGAAGTAAAAATTTGTTTCTTGTATAATCATAAAACATTGAGTAACGATGTGTTGTTGCCATTGCTCGTGTCTCTATCGAAACTTACCATTTCTTCATGGTTTAACTGGTTTCCTCGAAATGATTCTTGGTATAATCCGCCTCGCCATTTTCTTTTCATCCAACCCGCGAAAACAGTACACAGCCAAGTACAATGCTGCGTTCATTGTCGATTGGATTAGTTCTATTGTTCCAACATTAGTTGGTTTATTTACTGCTCTAATCATTCTTCTGATTCTATTCAAACTTCTTGCCGCGTGCTGCAGAGCTGCTACCGATAGCAATAGTGGAAGTAGTAGTAAAGGTTTAGTACGTAAACTACTTCAGAGCAAAAGTATTCGCCGTTTTCTTGTCATGGATTGTAATTGCCCGNTACGTTTCGAAATCGGTGGAAGTGATGTGGATTCTGCTTGGCAAGCGGCACAAAGACTTTTAGAACCTACAAAATTTACCTTCGAAAACATTTCAATTCAATTTGCATTACCTTCTGTGCAATTTTCATGTAGCAATCAATTGGGATGGTCAATTAGCCGTGCAAATAATCGTCTTAATATCGACTATGTTCTATATACATCCACTGTAGAACAAACTATCAAACTTGATGCATTAGCTGAAGCAGTAGGTATAGTTGCAGTGAAACTCTCTTCTACTAAGAATGACATATTGGTTCAACCGATTACTATTTCGCAAAACTCAATGCTTTATGCTAAATGGGATGATTTGTGTCTGACGATTCCGTTCAAACCAATGAATGTATCAACGCTACGGAAACTTCCGAAATTTTCTTGTTGAGAAATCTATGATTTGAAATAAAAACTGGCAGCATTATCGAAAGTGACTTCTTCAGTCTTATCAATCTCAGTCCGATTTAGCGAAACATTTCATAGTAATTACATAAGCTTTCTATCTTATTTGAAAACGACAAGTTCTTCTTTGTTGCAAACACCGAACGGAGACAATTGAACAAACTTTTGAAGAATTTGAGGAACTCTATCGACAGGAAAAGCATATCCAAAGAAAAACGCTGACCTTTTGCGTTAATACATCGCAAACTAAATTGTATTTCACAGATTAATTCAAATACAACCAATTGGCTCTCTTCAATCGTATACGACGAAATGGCTTAGCAGTATAAACACTTCTACAAGTTATTTTCTTTCTCTTAGATCACCGTCATTGAATGATATATGCCAATGTTTTCAATACTCTTCTCCTAAATTGATTTCAATGATTTTTTGGAAGACTTTCAAAGAAAATCCTATATTAATCAATACACTCGGAAATTGCAACATTCCGTAGACGCGATATTATTTTCTACTTGAAAAAACAAAACAGAGAAGAAACTCAGACTCTTAAGACTCTTTTCTCATCCGTGTGACTATGGAGGACATCCATTCCGAACTAAACAGCAATTTCGTCTGTGGTCTAACTGCAATCAACGATGGAGTCGAGATATATTCCCTCGCTCGGCTAGACCCACGGTTTTCAGATGTACCCGAAAATGAACATTGCATAGCAAAAGAGAAAATATTGATTTAAAAATGATACATAGGTGTCTTTATCTATGAGGTGATGCATCTATATTATCTGTGTTTGATAAATGACGCCGAACATGAGGATGAAATGGATGCGCAGCCTTTATACTTGTATCCAGTATGTTTACGAAAAATGTTCTCCTTGTTTGGCGTATAATGAAGGAAAAGTTCTATGTCGAACGTATGTACACTATTTCGTTTTGAATACGGAGCTGATTGGTATGAAAATCGGTTAAAAATTATAGTCTACGTTAAAAAATAAACATGATGACTTTGTATCGACGTTTGCTACCAGCGACAACTGGAAGAGACACTCCAAAAACATTTGCTCTATATCATATATCCAAGATAACATATGGTCACTGGCAGTAGAAGAATATTCTGTTAATACTTTTTTTAAATATTTGTTTCAGTCAAACGCTGCTTGTTGACTTTTGTACGTTTCATTCAGTACATCGAATGTATTCACTTCAATAAATGTCATAATGATTTTTAATCGCCAATAACAGATACGCGAGCTGTCTCTCGTCAAAGACTGTTTATTTTAAAAAAACGAATGATAGAAGTGGTACTTAAAGCGCGTTTTACTTCAAAACACATAAAAAAACGAACAGTGCGTTAAGTTACGCTGTAAATGTTTCATTCGAACATACGTTTGAATCAAAAAGATTTTGCTGTTCAAAATGTCTGTTTTATTAGTATTTGACAGCTATCTCACGAGGATTGCACATCTTTTCGACCTCAACCTGATCCTTTACAAATTTATATATGCATGGAATGCATGAGATTGCAATAAGCAAATATGCATACCAAAGAATGCACCAAACAAAAGTGTACCAATACACACCAGGATGACAATAGTTAGGACTTTGAGCATCATCAAATTGAACTCGATTTTTCACACTATATACCCATACAGATCCAGCAATATACCATGCAAAAGTGCAGATAGTGCCAATACCAGCCCACACAATCATTGAAAGTTTCCGTTGTTTATAAATGTCGGCTTTTGGCTTTTTTCGTTGGACGAACGTTATAATTACCATTGTAATAAGTAAGCATATATTTTCGACAATACATTCCACGCCTAATACCATTAGAAAGCGAGGTATCCATTCCTGGACTTGACATTGTGATCGATACACAATACCCATAATTAAAGGAGGGATAGCGAAAAGAATACTTTTTACAACCATTATGATGAAAGGGATACGAATATCATCCTTGCTATCTAATATGCCCCAATTTGGATCGTAACCAGGGCTAAAAATTTTGAATTAATTATTGGTAAACTTACAGAAGATTGTATTATACGCTGCAAGAAATAATACAGAAACTTACTTCTTCACTATTATTTCACGTTCACGAGGCCTAGGTAGTGCAGACAACGTGGTAAGATTGAGATAAAAGGGAAGACGTTCTTGAGCTTGTTGAGCATGTGTTCTATGGTTCTTCTCAGATGCTACGGATGCCGCCATCGTCTACTATAGTTAAATATATATTTTTATCAATGTAAGCACAACAGAAACGGTCGAAAAATATATAAAATAACTACATAGTTCTTCTTCGTTCTGTTTCTTCCGAGATTTGCGAATCATACGTTTATATATCAGCCAAACAAGTAAAAGAAAAAAAACTTTCTCAAAGCAAACGGCTCACCGAATTGCTTATGTCAACATTTCATACAAAGATTTCAAAATAAGTAATCGATGATGGGAAGCAAAGGGTCGCATGAAAAGGAGAAAATTACTATTGCAAAAAGTACCCGTAACTTCAACCAGCACACTCATTTCCGACCTATTGGTGATACAGACATTGCAACTGCAAGACCTGTTTATGTAAGAAAAAAGGATTCGATTAAAATAATCTGGTTGGATTCACGCAGCGTTCCTCGAGATGATATTATTGATACACAACTTACGAGACAAGCTCTCAGTAACGCTATAAAAAACGCGGTGTTAACGTGTTACTCCGATCGAACTTCTTGCATCAAATATCTACGACAACAAGAAAATACGGCTGGAATTCTATTTCTTGTCGTTTCTGGAAATGATGCTTTGGATTTATTTCATGATTTGAATGACGATCTCTACCGATGTATCGATTCAATTTTCATCTTCTGTTTGTCAAAGAACGTTCACGAAGCGCAATTACTCTATCAGAAAAAAGTGGCTGGCGTCTACACAGAACACAAGGAACTCCTACAATCCATTCAAGCGCAAGCAGTTCAAATAAACCAACAAGATCTTATCATGAAGTATTATTCAGAAACACAGAAGACTGCTCGTATTATCCCTAGTTATGCTAAAGGTGAATTTGTATGGATTCGTGCGTTGAAAGAGGCCTGTTTACAAGTGGAAAAAACCGATAGAATCATGAAAAAGATGTACGATCGCTTTCGTCTTCTCTATCGACATGATGCAAATGAGTTAAAAAAGATCAAAGATTTTGAAGACACATATTGCCCAGACAACGCAATTGCGTGGTATACTAAAGATTCTTTCCTTTACCGTATCATTAATCAAGGCCTGCGAACACAAAACACGGATGAACTTCTAATGTTTTCGCCATACATCGCAGATCTATGTCATGCTTTACGGGCGTTAAAAGCAAAAACTGGCAGAGCAATGATATTCTTTCGGGGAAGCGTCTTATCCAAAGCAGCAGTAAATGAATTTCAAGGCAATATAGGATCATTGCTGTCAATCAATTCATTTTTTTCTGCTACTCGCCAGCGAGACGTGGCGAAGGTGTTCGCAAGTTGTGACGATGCAAATGGAAGTTCATCATTGGTCTCAGTTTTATTCGAGATCGAAGTTCAAGAAAACACACAATCATTTTTCGCCGATATCTCTGCATTCAGTTTAATCAAAGATGAAGAAGAAGTTCTTTTCGATTTGAACTCAGTTTTCACAATACACGATGTAACCTACTGTGATACTGATAAATGTTGGATTATTCATTTGATTGCCGACGAAGAAACATATGTTAAATACGACCATATTTACACGGAACTATGTGAAGAATTCCATTTAAGTGCAATCCCGACATTCACTGTTGGATTTTGTTTAATTTTGATAGGTGATACACGAGAGGCCTATCGTTATGCCAATTCTCTTCCTTTGTCATACAACTCGATGTCGGCATTCACTTTGCTGTTTGTTGTGACATGCATTATTGAGTGTGATTATGCCAGAGCAATCAAAGTTTTGGAGAATATATGTACAGCATGTCATAATAGTAAGTTTTATGAGGTAAATGAAGGCTGGACGAATGCAGCGTGTTGGATTGCAGATATTTTAATTAATCTTGGAGAGTATAACTTAGCGAAACAATACATTGACTCAGTTGTTAGATATTACCAAACAATCAAAGGAGCAATACTTTCATATGAACAGCCAATGTCTCTCGAGTTTTTAGAAAGACTTGGAAGAGCCCTACAAAATGAAGATGATATAAGCGTAAGCTATTTAGTTTTCAAAGCCTTTAGTCCAGAGGAAATTTCGAAAATACGACGAGCCGTCATTCTTCCAAGTTTACTAACGCGTCTAGCTCGCTCATACGTTAATGCAGATGAATTACAGAAAGCAGTTAGCTATTTGCAACAAGCTGAAGTCGAAGGCGAACTGTTGCTTTCAGAGCGCTCAAGCGTGAGACTAGAAATCTACATTATTTATGCATGTATCAATCTGCACGTTGAAAAGTTCGATCAATGTTCATTGTACTTGAATCAAGCCGAAAGAATTGCTCGTATGAATCTATCTCGATCTGCTCCAAGCTCTTTAGGTTGTGTATTCCTTATACGTGAACTACTATTGATTTTACAGGAAGATACATCATCGCCATCTTTTTTACCATCGGCTCGTATTGCTTTCTTAAGAACACAAAACTATATCGATGTTCCCAAAGTGATGTTTGTTCTAGGAAACTTATGCAAAATTCATCGTAATTATCGAAAGAAGTTACATCCATCCGTGTATGAAAAATTGGCACAACTAGTTAAAGAAGCATTTGAAATTTGTCGATTTGAAATGATTTTAGAAGGCAAAAGTCCCGAGAATATATATCGTCCAATACAAAATTATGTCAAACAACTAGATAATTAGCAGAATAATTCAATTTCAACGAACATACAAACAATGAAAATTCAATCCTAGATCAAAACTCGATGTTTTATTATTTGAAAAAGTTTCAACATTGAATAAAATTCAATCAAATATTTTCCTGCAGACCAGTAGTGAAAGATTTTTATGCTTGACAGAATGTCAAATCTATCATATTGATATGTAGCTCATATGATGAGAATGTGAATCACAGTTTCCAATACATGCGCGCACAGCAAACACCATTGATTCGAGAAATCCTAAACTGTATTGACCACTTCTTCGATAATTTCATCTAGTAGACTTTCGACACCCTTATTGAACTTTTGATTTGGAATCATTTTTTTCATCAACGATGTCGCGAAATTCTTCTGTTCATTGTTCACTAACGCATAGACAATAATGACAATGAAGAGGTTCTCATCAATGATCGATGTCATCTTGAAAATGATATCGTCTGTTGTTTGCGAACAAGTTCGATCTTTGTCATATTTATCACCACTTCGTCGACAGTCTGCCAGAGTATGCAAATTGTTTCGAATAAAGTCTTTAACTGCTGCTGGCATATCGTTCTTTACTAAATATTGTTCTAAACAATCTTCACTGCCGTGAGAAAAGATTTCGGACAAGAAAAATTTCGTTGACATGACTTGGATATCGAAATACTGCTGTAATCCGAGACGTTTCTTGAATTTTTCATTCAGATCTGCTTGTGTCAGTGTCACAATTCGCTGCTCGACTGGTACACATGGAGTGATCGCTATACAAACAAAAGCATTACATTCTGTCATAACTGTGCTGCATGGAATGAACAACTTACTGATAGTGATTGTTAAAGCATGATTATGATCGTTTTCTTTAACGAATAATTCGATCGTTTTACTCTTTAACATCATTTGACACAGAGAATCGTTTGTTAGATCATTGAAGTGCCCGTTATTGATTGAATACTGAATGGTATAATCTGTTGAATGGATTTGAAATTCGGCTGATACAGCTTTATAAATGTAGTCTAGACTATCTGTTGTTGTCAACAGGATCTTAGCTGTTCGATTGTTTCTATGTACTAAAGCAATAACTTCCATTGATCAAATGATGCGAGTCTGTTTCGTGAAAACAAATATAATGAAGATGGACACACCATAACATCAGTTTTATATGAGCTGGAAAGTCGTACTCATTTCGTGTGGACTACATATTGTGCAAGAACAATTTAACAAGTGTAGGTGTTTCATTTCTGAAAGACGTCACAAGAAAAAATATAATTAAAGTTTCGTTATACGTAATGTACACGTTAGTCATTTTTACTTCACCGTGAAACAAGAACAAATTATTCCGAAATACAAATGAGCGACGCGTTTTGCGTAGTGTGAGTGTCGACATAAAACGAAAAATATTCATACGCTTCAGCATGTTTTATAATTAGAAGTATGTTCGTAACTGTACTTTTGAGTTAATGAGTTCATAAGATAATTCGAATCATACTATGCTTCTAACGTACAAGTCTGTAAGACAAAGAATATGTCAGGAACAAACAAATTCAGATCGTTAACATTTCGTTGATAATGATTCTTTTTCGTGTTCTGTTGCTCACTTAGAAACATTGAAAACAAAATCGGACTGTCAATACAACAGATTTTTTTCCAACTTGTAATTACTTAAATCTCCCAACTACCATTCAAAAGGCAATACTCAAAATTCCATTTTCATAGAAACCTTGTTGGCAACAGGAGTATTTACGAGGCGGCTTGGTAAATTCTGTCGTAAAGGCACTGTTTTCCTAGGAAGAAGGAGAAAAAGCAACACTAAAATGTCATTGCTTTTTTACAAAGAAGTAAAAAGTTGTTTTTGCATAATCATAAAACATTAAGTAAAGATGTGTTGTTGCCATTGCTCATGTCTCTATCGAAATTTACCATTTCTTCATGGTTTAACTGGTTTCCTCGAAATGATTCTTGGTATAATCCGCCTCGCCATTTTCTTTTCATCCAACCCGCGAAAACAGTACACAGCCAAATACAATGCTGCGTTCATTGTCGATTGGATTAGTTCTATTGTTCCAACATTAGTTGGTTTATTTACTGCTCTAATCATTCTTCTGATTCTACTCAAACTTCTTGCTGCGTGCTGCAGAGCTGCTAGCGATAGCAATAGTGGAAGTAGTAGTAAAGGTTTAGTACGTAAACTACTTCAGAGCAAAAGTATTCGCCGTTTTCTTGTCATGGATTGTAATTGCCCGTGGTACAAATCAAGACCTCGACGTCGTTTTCAAATTCGCTTCCTCCTGCTCTTCATTTTTTTCATTCTACGTATCACCGCCATTGGACTGTATGCTACAGCTCCTTCGACCGATGACGGCGCAGTGCTTGCCGTAGTATGTGCATTTTCATTGATCTTTATATTTAATACGCTATGTTTGGATTTTTATCGATATTGGGTTTGGTGGCATTATACGCCACAACGTGATACTCGCTGCCATTTAAAGTCAAGCAAACACGAAAGATTTATACCTTATCATATGATGGGCTTTTACCGTGATGCTCAGACATTCGGAGATCGCCCATGTACTAGTACTCCATGTCATAAGAGAACACTCGATCATATTGCCGTTTTTCATTCGCTTGATTTTGAACCACTACCACGCTGGAGGGATATCGAGAAACCGCCCCTTGATGGTCCACCACAAAGTAAAATACCCTGTATCAAATCGAAAGAACTAGATAATCAACCACATTATATTGGATTTCATACCACCGATCCAGATGCTGCTGTTTCCATTGCGCACAGTGATTTTCGGACAGGTACTTGCGGATGGATTGGCGCTGGTGCATACTTTGCCCGGTCAGTTCAAGCCACTTGGAGAAAAGCTAAAAGTGATGGTGGTGCTCATATTATCGCTGAAATTAGAATGGGTAGAGTCTTTGAAGTGGAACGCGACGTCATAACGAAAGGTCACTCAAGATTCGATCCGCAAATCTATGACTATGCTCATCATTCCAAATGGCATGCTGATTATGATACATGTTACATGCTCCAGGATCCGTCGAGTGGGGATGAATTCGCTATAAAAGATCCTGCTAAGCAAATTGTCAAATGGGTTGTAGTTGTTGAACCAGATTTCGATCCCAAGGTGGAAAAATATGGACTTTTGGATGAATTTGAACTGACGAGGTGTGGATGTATTTAAAGGTGAAAATAAGAACCCTATTTGTCACCGTACTCAATACTTTGAACAGTGTGAGAATGCGATTTTTGTTGAATAATAAATTTAGAAAGAATGCTCTATCGCTCTACCTTTCATGATTCCATAGCTAAGACAAAAAAAAAGAACAAAGTGGGCGAATAAAGTTATGAAGCAAACAGTTCAAGTATTTCAAGATCATTTAATTCACGGGAATATAAACGAAAATCGTAAAGACGTCAGTGCACCTGCTGAATAAGTGAAGATTGCGATGTCTTCTATATAACATGCTCGAATCTCTCATATCAAGTAAAGCAGCGGGTGATGAACCTTTCCAGGTGAAAATAACATATTTTGTATGGAAATCAGGCTTTATCCATAACGAGATCGAAAAGTTCAAAGCTACTAATTGCTTGAACATGCGACATGTTCCCAGTAAAAGATACTGATTCACCTAGGGAACTATTATAATTTGGACAACCATTCACCGCCAAAAGATTATTCGTATGAGGGCCTAAATGAACATTTATATTTCAAGACGAGAAAGCAGACGACGAATTTTATCCTACCTGGACCATTAAGAAACTTATCTGCATCAAATGTATAATGAATGAGAAGTGTTGCATCACTCTCAATCTCAGCCGGACTTTTGACACATGTAATCAATGATAATTGATCAATTAGTCCGTTAAAGTATATATTGAATTGCGGCAAGCCTCCAATAAACAACGATATATTGCTCGAATCAACATATGTACCTGATTGACTGTTGATACAACTTAATATACCGTTAATGTAAATGAGTTGTTTTTGATTCTGTGTATCGTGTACAAAAGCAAGGTGTATTCAAGTATTTATCGATAGAGTAATGTTCCCAACGCACTTACTACCGCCATAGAATCACATCATGGGTTTTCTAAAACTAAGAACAAGATTTTAACGTTGAAATGATACATCGCCCGCTATCTACGATGGTCATGGGAAACATATAATGTCGTTTTACTTCCGAAGTCATCCACTGAGTATCTTCACTGTTGTAGCAAAAATAGGAAATAAATTAAAGATCAACATACAGATGACAGTTTACGCGTAAGTGATTCAACTGAATAATGAACGAATTTCAGCTCGAATCGTACGTATTCATCAGACAAATTTTCTTCTTTTAAAAGTGTTAAAAAGTGTATTTTTTTTTCATTATCGAAATACTCTTTTGTCGTCGGCCGTGGAATAATGTTAATTGAATGAAATAACGTATTGACACCTATCGACGCAAATATTACTTGCAATACGCACTTTCTCCTTTTTCCCCATTAATGGTTAAATGAGACGTTTGAGAAGATATTAAAAAAATGCTCAGTGTGAAGGTGCAAAAGTACTAATAACATTTTAGAAAGAAACAATGTGGAGATTAGTTATACTTCTAACAATAGTGTTGTCCGTTGATTGTGTTGTGATAGGTCGAATTCAAGACGCACAGCTGATCGGAGATGATAATGAAGTATGGTTCAATCAAACACGCGAGCAATGTATTTGCGAAATGGTGAAATCCAATGGATTGATTCTAGCACTTAATTACTTCGTCACCAATCAAACATGCCAATTCTTTTCCTTGAATGCGACTAACATTCGTCTTGAATTCTTTATGAACTGTCTAGTAATCTATGTAAATCAATCAACTTTATTGAATATGTTCCGTAAGTTGTTTTGTCAAATCGGTTCAAAGATTTACTTTCTCTAGAGTAGAATCAACAACTTCGACGCTACCATTTACTACAACAACTCAAACAGGTTAGTATCTAACAGTGCACGACACGTTTTTACATAGAGAGAGAAACTTCAGAATTAAATATGCGATTTGCTTGTCTAGAATGGATAAGAACGGGAGATATGACAGTTCCACGAAGCTCCCATTCAGCATCCGTTCTATCGAACGGACAAGTGCTAGTCGCTGGTGGTACCAGTCACGGTGTTTACCTTAGTAATGCTGAACTGTATGATCCGTCAACAGGATTGTGGACTCCTACAGGTAGTATGAATGTTGCACGTTCGGTTCATAGAACTGTCGTGTTATCAAATGGAAATGTACTAGCTACCGGCGGATATACGGGCACAAATTGTCTCAGCAGTGCTGAATTATATGATGCTTCGACTGGAACATGGACATACACAGGCAATATGAATGTTGCACGACATGGTCATGGTATAACTTTATTGCTCAATGGAAAAGTTTTCGTTTTTGGTGGGTTTACAGGTAGTGTGTATACCAATACTGCGGAATTATATGATCCCGCCAGTGGGATATGGACTAACACAGGAAGTATGAGCGTCGCACGTTATTTTCCTCCAGCATCTATATTTTCCAATGGAAAAGTATTAGTTAGTGGTGGATATACAGGCAGCATTTATACTAACACAGCTGAATTGTATAACCCTACAACTGGAACATGGACAAGCACGGGAAGTATGAATTTTGCACGGTATGGTCATACATTATCGATGTCATCGAATGAAACAGTGTTAGTTGTCGGTGGAATCGACAACAGTGGTTATTATGAAAGTACAGCAGAACTATATAGTTCTTCAACAGGCATTTGGATAGTAACTGGAAGTATGAGTATTACTCGATTTGGTCATAAGGCGTTAGAATTGACTAATGGGAAAGTGATAGTTATCGGTGGTAGAAATAATATCTATTCAGCTCTAAACAGTGCAGAAGTATACAGTCCATCGACTAGTAATTGGAAAACGATTGAAAATTTGACTGTTGCACGCATGTATCACTCAGCATGTTTATTATCTAATGGAATTATACATGTTAGTGGCGGACAACTTAATGGAGACTATACTAATACTGTTGAAGTTCACTATTAAAAAATAATTCACACCCTTCTTTTCGATATATTTCTAGCTAATTATGTAATCAGAATAACGCTTTTGTAAATTTGTCATTGATCAAAAAGAAATACAAAATACACCCATAGTCTCGTTTCGAGAAAATGAAGTGCTCTGAACATTCTTTTAGGCACTATGTCATTCACATACACTATGATAAATACACAAATTCGTAGTTAATAGATTATGGTGGGTATCGCAAACGAGCTAGTGAGAAGTGAACACTAATTATTGAAAAGCAAACAATAGTGGTAGATGAGTATGAGTATCGATATTTCATTTTTCACAATTGATTTATAAGAAATCAAAATTACAAAAAAAGCTTCATTGAACGAATGTATCGCAGCACGAGATCTTCTTTATCGAATGAAATTTCATATTGTCAAGAAAGTTCGTTTCCTTTCTGCTGAATAATTTTACTTGACAACCAACGAAATGGATGAGGAAGAAATATAAAAATTGTATTCAATCAAGTATCTGATTTTATCCTTTTAAACAGAAAAAAGTAGAAAAAGCGTTGAATATTCTTCCATATTCATTGTAAATTATTATTTGAAAAACTCTTTCTTGGATAAAATTTTATTCAAACACATTTCAGTTACAAAATCTCGTCTATCCTGATGATTATTCATCGATTCGTCAAGCTCGCACTCGATTATTAGCACAATACATTCACATCACTTTTACAACAATATTCATTGAAGTAAAACATTGTCAAAACCGCGCTCTTTTCTCTCATTTGATATCATGCTTTCGGTTTGTTCTATGTTGACGAAGTATTTGCAAAAAAAGTACATTACGATAATGTCAAGGCGAAGTTGTCGAGCAAATATTTGTTAACATCATACCCATTCTTAGTAGTTACAGACCTGGGAAGAGTTTTTATGAGACGTTACATTTGTTCTCGGTAATAATGTTTACAGTTTGTTGTTTGTAAAGGTTTATCGCATTCGCACAAAAAAGAAACAAGGTCATTTAGATTAAAAAAAAAGATCAACCGACTTATTGTTAAATTCTTATGTGATCAACACTCATACCAATCGAAAAAAAGACATCGATCATTAACCCTTTGGCTCCCGGCTTTTTTTTGAGAGAATGAAGATTTTGAAAAGTAACGTTTATCAAAGAATTTTATTTTTTTCTCAAAGAAATCTCATTTTTTGATCAGAAACAGTATTAATAGTTCGTCTTCGTATGATAGTCTTTGAAGCAGTCAACAATACATAGTGACACATTACATTCTTGACACATATATTGCGTAACGCGTCGAAGATTATGGGATGAGCACACCACACACCCTCAAGAATTTACTGGATTGTATATAAGTAATAGAATCAACTAGAATCTTACAGAAAGATAAAGACGCACCAGACAACGTTAGAGAAAGTAAAATATACTAAATACAAAAGAAAAGAACGAAAAAAAGGTGACTGTGCTAGAGCACACTAGAGCGATAAAAAATATGGATGGAATGTGCACGAATAAAACGATCAATAAAAAGAAAAGAGAAGAATTATATCAGTTTGGCACTATCTAACAAATGATAAGAAGCTGTTCTAAACACTTGAAATACATAATGTTATGACCTTTATTCGATAAATACATCAGCACACATATATGTGTTGCCGGGAGCGAAAGAGTTGATTCTTCGTATTTCTCTCTAGCAGGAACTGTAATATGATGTTTCTCTTTTCTCTGAACTTTTATTTCAACAAAAGACATAACGAAAATTCAAATTGCTGCATGGTACACCACACTGTGAGCGTCATCAGTGTTTACACTATGTTGGATATTCCGGACAATTCATTCTTTATTTTCCTCAAAAAAACGACATCAATATTTGATTGGCTTCTATTCATTTTGAAGAATTTCTTTGAGCAACTCAAATATTATTTCAATGACTTTCTTTTATTGATCAAAATAAAAATAATTTTACAAGAAAATGTAGCTTTTTAGAAATGTTTTTTTTTCAAATATTAAAAACTAGAATGTCTGGTCGTTTCAGTTTGAATAAGCGAAGAAGAATTTTCTCTAGAAATCTTTCAGCCAGAAAACCATTTAGTTTGCTCGGAAATGTTGTTGAAGGGGAGAAAAGTTCATTTGTTGGTCATTTTGTTCATTGTCGATGAAATTTCAGGTAATATTTCAATGAATTTGCAGAATTTGTCAAGTTTATTTGTGACAAAAGAAGAGAAGATTTATGTTGATACACTTTATTCATCAAATGGGAGTGTTGTAAGTGAAATCGAAATGAATTCATCATAGAGAGTGAATTCTATTCTACGAATGAACATTTGTCACCAATGTTTTGCTATTTTTGTGAGTGAAGATCAAACTCTCTTTTGTTCTTTATCTCAACAACATCAGATCATTTCCAAATCATTACTCAATCAATGGGACTAACTGTCGACTGTTGCAGGAACGGGAAGTGAAGGATCAACATCTACAACACTTCGATATCCTCATGGAATATTTCTTGATGAAACCAACTCAACTTTATTCGTAGCTGATTGTGGCAACGATCGAATACAATAATTCTACTTCGATTCATTTCAGGGTGAAACAATTCTTTCGAATCAAGCATTTCAGCTGAATTGTCCCAGTGGATTTATATTGGATAACCAAGGTTTTGTATTTGTTGTTGATTTCAACAATCATCGAATCGTTGGACAAAATTCTAATGGTTTTCGTTGTTTGATCGGATGTAATCGATCAGCAGGATCAAATCCAAATCAATTGAGTTTTCTAACCAATCTTCAATTTGATTCATTTGGAAATCTTTTTGTTGTTGATCAACAAAATCATCGAATTCAAAAATTTGATTTAATTGCCTATCCAAGACATAGGTTTAAATGAAAAATCTCAAAAAATATGTCATAGGCAGAATTAAGTTTCAGGCAAAATTAAACTTAGTCGAAATTCGTTCATTATAAAAGGCGCAAAATTGAGATGGAAAAACAAACGAACCACTTAGAATGTTTTTTTTTGTATG